ACAATTGATTGCAAATCAATTGCTTGTATCGTATTGATTGCGATACTTGTATACACACTATGGATAATATAATAGTTATCAAAATAAGTTGAACTGATAATTTCATGATTATCCTAATTTAGTAACAGAATATTAAATGAATGTAGGTCAAAATAATGTTTTTTTTGCATTAAAGTAGTTAAAAGTTGTATATTAATTTGAATATACAATATATGTAGACTGTACAAACGTTATGTAAAAATGTGACACCAGGACTTTTAAAAATGACTAGACTATTTTTAAAAATGATGACTATTTTTACAAAAAATAGCCATTTCATAATTATATTCATTTTTGAAGGACTGCACGATTCCGTTGGCATTTTAGCTTAAGGAGGCCTAAGATTTCATATGATTCGCAGAGTTGTCCTTAAGGACAGGTGTGTGGAGTGTATGTGTAGTTTGTATGCAATGTATTTGTGTTGTGTTGTAGGCGCTCCACTCACTCCTGTGTCCTGCAGACAGAGCACACTTTCCTTCGTTTCGGCCGATTTTAAAGCAAAAATCCGTTTAACTCTTTGCGGATCTCCTTTACCTTAGACTCCAGCAAAAAGGACGAGTGCGCCTACATGTTCTGCGCCTACATGTTTTTAGCTATGCTCACATTATATGAGAATAGGAACTTTAAAACCACTTTTGCAAAATTTTATATAAATATATATATATAACATTTGTCATAAATAAACTGAATCATTCAATATAAATACTTGGTTATTCATTACATTTATCATAGTTTAATATGTGATTAAATGAATTTCAATATAGTATAGCCAAGTATTTATATTGAATGATTCAGTTTATTTATGACAAATGTTATATATATATATTTATATAAAATTTTGCAAAAGTGGTTTTAAAGTTCCTATTCTCATATGTTAGTAGCATAAGGTTTCGATATTTCCAGAAATTTTTCAAAGTATTTCGGGACTATAGGAAATTCCATGGATAGTGAAAATATTAAGTAAAGTAAATATAAAGTAAAATTCATAAATAAAAACAATTTTCTGGTCTGTTAGCCTTATCCAAGACACACCACTTGGAGGTCCACCAGGCGAACAATGAACTGCATTTGCTCGTTTCATAAATATTATTAATTTGTCAATAGAAATGGTTATTGTATTCAATGTCAAAGCGGCGCTGGATATGTTCACAAAGTGCGTAGCGCTCGAGTTGGCCCACAAAGGCATCCGGACTAACGTTGTCAAGTATGTGCTTGCTTATACAGTGTTTATTTGGTTAATACTAAATTAATGTTCTTGTTACTTTCAATACTTTGATTGTAAAAGTCTCGGTGCTGTTAAGTCGGAGTTTTTGGAAATCTTTCTAAACGTGAATAAAGCTAAATCTGATGACATTTTGGAGGGGGTGGCCAAGAAGTACCCCTTAAGACGGGTGGGTGAGCCCATGGATGTGGCACAAGCCGTGTTGTATTTGACGTGAGATGAGGCGTCGTTTGTGACCGGATCCAACTTCGTGGTCGACGGCGGCGCACAATATAAATAAAAATAGATGTAATTAAGTCTATGATGTAATCTACGGTTTGATTGCGAGTCTAATTGACTGAATAAAAATGAACAATGAGATTTTGTTGTGTATTGTTGTGAAACGGTGTCTATCTGTCTATCCATCGCATGTCCAGTTTGTGGTCAAACTCGGTATTCAGGTATCTCTCTAATGACCACTTGTTGTCCATCGCTGAGTGATCTGTCCTTATGTTTGAATTCTGCGTTCATATAATTGGCACAACAGGCCTCAGATTTGCCGCACTTTACCGGACAGTCCTTTTACTTATGTACACCCAAACAGTGAGGACACACCGTTTTATACGTCATAAACCCGTCCGTCGATGTTATTCTTGTCGCTCAATGTCCATAACCGCAACGTTTAAAGCATCTGATGATTAGGGTGTGCTTGTTAATCGTTAATCCAAGTACTTGCAGATCGTGAGGCGTTTCGACGGCAATAATACACAATACACTTCCCATTCGTTGATTTTCTCACAAACGATATTCCGATTCCGATATCTATTATATCGATTGTAGTGTTGAGTGCAGTCTTGAGTCCGAGTTGTGTCAGCCTTTGAGTGCTCTTTCGGCTCAATTACCAGCGGATGAGAGTCTAAGTGGCGGACGTCTCGCATGTCTTCTTCAGACTCACAACACTTCTGTCCACAGATCTCATGTTTGAGTTGAGGGCTGAGAGGTTTGGATACTCTCCACGACTGTCTTCATGGCTGATATCCCTTTAGTCACTGAGTCTTCTATGCGCTCAAGTGATTCGGTCTCATCTGTTGGACGCAAAACCTTATCGTTAATCAATGCTTCGATGCGATCCATGGCTTTCTGTTGAACCGGACGTTCATTTTCCATTGGTTTTGGAAGTCTATCGGAAGACTACTTGTGTTGGCGACTATTCCATGTGAGGGCTCAGCGGATGCCTCCATTCAATAAAAGTGCATCAGATTTTACACGGGGTTTGTGCACTTTTAGACAAATTTCTTCATAGACTTTACATAGGGCTTTATGCACTTTTGACCTTGACCATAAATTTACCTTGACTTACGCCATAGATTTTACATGGGGTTTTGTGGACTTTTAGATAAATTGATATAGTAATAAGAGATAACAGAATAGAACTTTAAAAAATTAATGTAACTTATTTAATTTTTAATATTAATTTAATCTGAATGTTTTACATTTATTTTAAATAAGTTATATTTCATTAAAATTATACAGTATTATATAATCATGGCAGAAATCAATTAAAAACATTTCGTATAGAAACAACGATTGTTTTAAAAATACACTTAGTTGGAAACCTCGAGGGACAAATATAAATTGAGTGCTTATGATTGTCATGAATAGTTAGCCGATAACATATTTAACATTTTGAATTTACTAAACTTGGCGAATCAAATAAATTAGTTTGTTAAATTCACTATCAATTATCACTGACATCCTCATTTTGTCATTGAAATAACATAAGATTTTATTGTATACAGTGTTTACAATAGTACTTTGTGTTTATAAATCGGTAATTATTTCCATATGTATGTTATGTTTAACGGCATAAACCCGTTTACATTCAAGTTGTGTACATTCCATAGAACTCATGTTTTTTCAATGACAAAATCAAGATGTCGGTGATGGTTGAAAGTGAATTTTTTAGATTTTATATTTTGAGATTCTGTTTTTCGAGATTTTTATGTTACACTCATAGTATTAACGTAAGCTATTTATGGGATAAGCTATTAACATTGTTGCCAAGTATAGTTAACTTATAAAACTCAACCCCTTTTAAAAACTAATAATTAGATTTTATTGAGTTTGGTTTTATATGAAAGTTCATTTTGTGTCAATAAAGTGTACTTTTTATTTGTGACCTATAAATTATTCTTTCATAACATTTTCATTAAATTACTTTATTATACGTAATTTTTTCATAATTTTAAGTCTAGCGGTTTCGTGACAATCATAATTTTAAAACATTTTCTGGTCGACCGATATCTATACAATAGTATTGTTTCTAATTTAATAATTTTAAAATTACATTTATATTGAAAAGTAGCCAATAATAATGTGGTGGCAACCAACTTGATCTATAGGTATAAGGAATTGCAAATTACAATGTATTACAATGTATTACAATGTATTACAATGTATTACAATTGCTATTGCAGTCTATTATTGCAGTCTATTATTGACTTCATGGTTGGCAACAGTTATATCAGTCGAGGATTGGTTCAACTTTTTCTATCCTTAGAAATCCTTAATTTACAAATTATTAAAGTATTGAATGACTATTCAAATTATATTACTACATATGAGCTTTGAACAATCATAGTAACGTTAGCTACTTTTATTAATACTTTAAAATGCAGTAATATTTTAACCTGATAAGTTATAATACTACTCGTTTACCTTAAACCTATGAATATTTTATGAATAATTGACTTTTGCATAAAATTCATAATTAGATATAATAGATATAAAATAGCTAACATTACTATGATTGTTCAAAGCTCATATACAGTCAATGATTTGGTTAAACTTCTATCCCTTAAAAATTATTCAATGACAAATTCAAATTATATTACTACATATACAGTGCAACTGTATATTAATTACATGTATGTGTAGCAGGCACAATTAAATAAAATTTAATGTCTATTTGAGTGGTTAACATGCTTTTACGGTACTATTATATGTCCTACTCGTTAGTAATAAAAGTTATTAATTATCTATTTTTTACCTTTAATTAATAATTAAAGGTAAAAAATAGATAATTAATAACTTTTATTACTAACGAGTAGGACATATAATAGTACCGTAAAAGCATGTTAACCACTCAAATAGACATTAAATTTTATTTAATTGTGCCTGCTACACTTACATGTAATTAATATACAGTTGCACTGTATATGTAGTAATATAATTTGAATTAGTCATTTAATACTTTAATAATTTGTAAATTAAGGATTTTGTAAATTAAGCAGGAAAAGAGTGGGTTATCAAATCACTCTGTACCACCTCCGACCCCCACCCACCCCCACTCCGTCATTAATTACGCTAATGACGCACTTTAACACAACTCCATAGACATGGGGTTTTTTGACAGTTTAGCCGGTAAGGAGTTTGTTTTTCCTATGGAAAATCCCAGCAAAGTGGGCAAAAGTGTTTCCGATGACGTAATGACAGTGTGTTCTCTGGCCCATGTTAAACCTATGGGAAAATAGTGTATAATGATGGTGCATGTTGTGTGTGTCAAAAAATGTCGGCTGTGGAACAAAAAATCCCATAGCGTTAAGCGACAAATGGACATTGAGGGACATGTGGTCGAAAAAGTACGACCAAATTGCACTATTGGATTGATATACGGTTCCACAACAATGGTTTGAAAATTTTCAAAATTTCTTGAAAATGCTAAAATAGCTTAAATGTGCTGAATATATCACTAAGCCCCCTATGAAACTTGCCATCTTCTATCAAGCCTTTGCTTTCCTTCCCTCTTCTTTCTTTCACTCTCCTTTTAGGCCCTCCCCCTATCTTGCACTCTACTTTTACGCCTTCCCCTATCTTGAACAATTCTTTTGAGCCCTCTCCTTTTTTGCCCTCCCCCTATCTTGCACCCTCCTTACAAGCACTCCCCTATTCTGCAACCCAATTTTGACAGGATTGACGATAAGTGTCTCTATTAGCTTAACTGTAAATGTGGGTTTCTATAGCATTGCCTGCAAACCTTGTTTATGTTTAAAAACCGTTTGTGTTTAAATTATTAAGAACATTTTGGTTTTATTAACAGTATTTAAAAAAGGATTACATTTGTGTTAAGGAATATTGTAATGCCTGCATTATATCCGACCCCTCACCTCCTATTCCACACTTGCATAGCAGTACTCAACCCTAGATTTTTAGATCTAGCTTTGCCTTAATGAGAAACATGGAAACCCCATTTTCTGACACATTTAAACTTTCAATGATTTATCCTTTTGTTTAGAAATACTGTATAGGACTATAGGACTATAGGACAACTCTGCGAATCATATGAAACCTGAGGCCTCCTTAAGCCTCCTTAAGCTAAAATGCCAACGGAATCGTGCAGTCCTTCAAAAATGAATATAATTATGAAATAGCTATTTTTTGTAAAAATAGTCTAGTCATTTTTAAAAGTCCCGGTGTCATATTTCTACATAACGTTTGTACAGTCTACATATATTGTATATTAAAATTAATATTCAACTTTTAACTACTTTAATGCAAAAAACATTATTTTGACCTAAATTCATTTAATATTTACAATGATTTAATCCTATTAGTACTTTAATAGTCAAGTTGAATAAAACTATTGATAATATAATAGGTATCACACATATGTTCATAGCGTTAGTTATGCTATGTTCGTTAACTAAACGTTAGTTAACATTTCGTATTACAACGAAACGGATATTAGTGTCGAATGTCGGCAAGTTATCCATCATTTATTGGACGATAACCTTACTGTCCAACAGGAATGGCTGTTCACAAGTAAGTAATCTTAGAATTAGATTACGATTTAATCATTTTATTCCACATTAAGTGGTGGACTCTTCGGCCACTTTGGGCACCGGTATCTTAAAAGGAAGCTGTGTAAAGAAACCTCTAATACTAGTCACAGACCGATAATTAAGTGTGTGTTTACCTTTATCATAAGTGTATTTGGGTCAGTATTGCACTCTACAGATACCCATCAAACATATTATTGGAAATGTTCAAGTACGTATAGTTGACGTATATGATATAAGGCTAAAATATTATAGATATTATAGATATGTCAGTACTAGTGAAGCACTTTGCTAACCATAGGTTTATACAGTATAATTCAACTTGATTAGTTTATTAGTTCATTATTTAACTGAACATTCAATTAATAAACATATTATTAAATTTATTTCTTAACCTTAAGCTCAAAATAAGGGATCAATTGAATGGTATGAAGGCATCGATCGGTATTTGTTTGCCCACTGTTTGCAGTGAACGAGATATCAATGAAATGCTTCAAAAGTGTATGATTTTTGCGTATTGCTCAAGGTGAAAATAATATAAAAATATTTCAAATTGTGTGATACTTCTCAATAGATTCCTCGAAACACTTATTGAGCGCACGATTAGAGCAATGCGTTCACAGAAATGATAATCCGATTCAATGGTTGCATATCATCATTGGGTTTGTATTTGTTATTTAAGCAATTAATAGACAATAATTATAATTATAATTGTGCTCAAATTCTTTGTATATACTGTACATATGAAACCGAGAAGTTGCTGTTTTATTTTAATAATCATGCTGGCTTTTGTCGGACCAATCTTGAGTAAACTATATCCAACAAATAACAATGGTAACTTTTATTTTCAATTTATTTGACAACTTTCAATTAAAACAAATATAAATCTCATAGAATTGGTTCAAAATTTGCGGTCATTTGCGGAAAGCTTTTCAATCACTAAAAACACTTGTAATCTGTTTCGAGTGGACACACGTCGGGATCAATGGCTGTCGTGTTTATCGGGAATACGAACCCTATTATCGTTATATGTAATGGCATTTCACTACCAAGCGTTCAGGGTCAATCATCTAAATCATAATTATAACGGTAATGAAAATTAACTTTAAATAAATAAAATAACAATCTTTTATTGTGTGATAAACATAGTATTTCAAAATGTATGAGTTATCAATGTCCATTATTTTTAAATATTTCTTTTTTATACAGCTAATGCTTTTCAAGTAATGGACAAATTTAGGATATTAAGTGACGTGCTAAATGCATTTGCCATGCAATCCATGTGCATCTATTTTATGGTAAGCGGTTTGCTTCAAGCAAATGGACAGTTAGGCCGTTCGCATGGGACGGGTAGCACTTCAGCCGTCAATTATTTGTTTCCGATCCGCAAAATCATTCGCCGATTCGTACGCCTAATGCCATCCGTCGGCGCCGCTATTGCCTTTTCCATACTTTTAGAGGTGTTGGGGTCGGGACCCGAGTGGCACCAGTATATGTATATTATTCCTGGAGCTTGTCGTCATAATTGGTGGGCTACCATGCTCAATATGAAACCGTTTAATGAATTTAGAATCGTATAAT